CGGATACGTTGTCGTTTATTCTATCTTTCTATAAAGTTTCTTGTAATTTACGTACGAGAATATCCAAATATATTTGTAACCGTGTCTATACGTATAGTTGAAATCTGACATTCTCTCCCATTTTTTTCTGCGAATGATATAGAGAAATTGCCCCTTACCAAAGGATTTTTCGGCGTTTACCTCTGTTTTTCATTTTAATACGTTGTTTTAAGGGATGACGGCGAAAGAGGACAGACGCTGTTCTTGCTTGCCAGATCAATTCAGAATTGTCGATCGAAGGTTGCAAAGACGCCTTTATGAACGCCGAGAAGGCAATTGTGCATTATCTTTTATGTTCTATTTTATTACATATGTAACCGATGTCTTCACGAATTAAAGACCTTGATGCTGTTCACAGTTTGTCTTTTTATTACCTTGTTGTAACGCTTGGAGGCAGAAATGAACAAACACTCGCTCGTCTTTCGTTTGCGAAACTGAGGCAATTGCTTGTCGTATCCATCGTTCCGCGTTGCTTGTTACGAGCAGCGTAATTGAGCTATCGCGAATTGAAGAGTTTAATGCTGGCCGCCCCGCGGCCTATTGTTTCGTTACATTCTTAAACCTTTCATCGATGTACCGAGCAAAAACTATAACTGAATCGTTCAAACGGAGCGGGAAATACAATTTTTACAACGTTTAAATGTTTTATTAGCGCGTCAAGAATCGTGTCGATCGTCGCATTCAGGAACGTTGTGTTGTATAACTTAACATTGGAGAACGTTCGTTAATACAAACATGTTGTTCGGATCGCAGATGATTGTACAGAATGTTCTCAGAGATAACCGAACAAAAAATGTTATACACATTATGTGTGTTGCAATGACGCGACGGTATTTTCATTTAACGTACGTTTTTCTACAGTACTCTTTCGCATTTACGGAATATCTAATGATGATATTGCCAAACTTTATACAGGGTGTTCGTCCACCCATGGAAAAAATTTTAATCAGAGATTCTAAAGGCTAAAATAAGACGAAAATCAACAATACCAATTTGTTGATGGAGGCTTCGTTAAGAAGTTATTAACGTTTAGAGTTCCGCCCGTACTGAGTTTTTTTCTCGAAAATGTGTAGGATTTCGGAGGTATATGTATGTATTCACAAAAAATGATTGTAATTGACCCCCGCAAATGAAAATAATTTTTTCAAAACGATTTGAAATTTTTTATTTTGTCGAAAAATTTCGGCACCTCGATTTTTCTTAAAAATTCGTTTTCGATTTTTAGTAATTTTGTTTGACACCCTTCAGAAAAGTTGTCTAGTGCCTATGAGCTCTACTTCAGAACAAAATTTCATTGAAATATATTCACTTTTGCAGGAGTTATGGCTGTTTTTCTCATTTTCCGGCATTAAGGATCAACTTTTCGGATATTTTTTAGAATTTCTATACATTCTTTACCAAAATATGCGTAGTTTGCCGTTTGAAATATTAAAATCGTTCAATCCGTTCAGCAGTTACGATGTTTTAAAGATTCGCATGAAACAGGGAAGCATTTCTAGCCTCACATTAGAATTTTGCTAAGGAATTTTTTTCTTGAAAATGAGTAGGATTTCAGGGGTATATGTAATGACCAAAAATGATTGCAATTGACCTCCACAATCGAAAGTAATATTTTTAGAATGATGTGAAATTTTTTAATTTAATTTTTTTAATAACTTTTTAACGAAGCCTCTGTCAAGAAATTGATATTCTTGATTTTCGTCTTATTTTGCCCTCTAGAATCCCCATTAAAATTTTTCCCAGGGGTGGCCGAACACCCTGTTATACCCCAAGACGACGTTCTAATCACATCTTTGAAATTATTGTAATTCTTGATATATTTGTACATAAAATCTACAGAAATTTATTTTTATTTTCTAATATTGGATTTGCATTAAAATTATAAGATAGATAATGTTAGTATCCATTAGAACACATCTTTAATTTAAGAAAATGTGAGAACTCATTTTTGAAGATCCTTTATGCTTGATTTTCTTTTCTTCTTTTTGTTGTTGCCGAATGAAAGCGTTGGCAGAAATCGTGTTTTGTTTTTCTAATATAATGGCGTGTGAATCGGAAATAGGAAACAATATTTTATAGGGAAGGGACTCGTTCGAAACTCGTCAAAATTTGTTGTTTCTTTTTTGCTCGGAATGACCTGGCAAACGTGTCTGTAAGATTAATCGGTTAAGTTCTGGCACACTCAGTATATTGACGATAATTTTTCCGCGCATCGAGCAAAGCGGTCCGCGCGAATTCAAAGTAATTAAAGATCCAGGATCGCCATGCGTGGACATCGGATCTAGAGCATCGTATTATTCTCGGAGTCTTCGCGACGTAACTGGTTGAAACCACTTTTAATCGAATGAAACGGTAAACTTTTTTAAATAAAAGTCATTTAGTAAACTTTTAACTTGTACATTATTTTCTATTTCGAGTTCAGTCTCCATATTAATGCTTTAATTCTGCTACGAAAGTTCAATTTGTCCGGTGATTCGATTAAGAGAAGTGTACGCAAACGTTTGACCACTTTTTCAATAGATTTGTATGTTCAAATTATATCTTTCTCCCGTGAGATTGTTTTTTTTTTTATACGTATATTAATATCGTAACTAATAAAGTTTGTACGGCAACCATTAAGTGTTTAGAAGGAAAAAATAGTGGTAGAAATTGTCACAGTCCTTCGAGCACAGATGGAATAAGCCTTGCTCCAGTGACGCCGAGGTCGTCATATGTGTATTTCCATTTTTCATATTACCTTACACGAGGAATCTCAGTTTCCCGCCATCGTCGGTCACACTTTGTCTCTTGTCTCGCAAATTAATAGGTCAAGTAACGACAAATCCGCTGCCGGGTATCTGTCTTAATACTTGGACGTCTTAGCGACTCGCAATAAAAGATTACAACGATCGTGCAAATTTCTTTTTCTTTTTTATCGTTGCCGATTATAGAAACAATAACGACGCGATCAAAGTTTCATCGATTCCGTTTAAATTATAGCACATTTATTTATCTCATGCGTACATGTATTGTAGTTTCGAGTAATGAACGATTTGCTTCTTCTGTCGAGCATTTTGCAATTATCTTTGTGTGCAAACAGAGGATTATGGCAGATAATAAAGAATGAATATTTCATTGGTTTCAAATGTAGCATAAAATATATCTACGAGAAACCGTTCCGTCTCTCGTTAATTGACTTCATTAATTATTAAATCGTCGCGTATAATCGAAATTACAAGATCATAAATCAAGCGCGGGCTCTCGTAGAATGAGTTAGAAACGTAATTCATTTCTACGCGACCAACAAAAGGAAGAGAGTCGGCGATTCGTAAGAAACGCCGATTTAGCACTTTGAGCATGGACGATTATGATATTACTACGCCATTTATATTTTCTGACTGCCGGCAGTGGCAACTGGTAATACGGCCATTACGATATAGAATGTCCCAGTAAAATGTCCCAGATGGTCTACGTAAGCGGTGATTCGTGTGGTAAGACGTGCGGTAATTCACGTAATATTCTTAATTTCTATCTATAAAGAATATGATTTTAGTCAACGAGGTCTTCGATCGGACATTCCATCGCTTAAAGGGCTATTTTACTCTATTATTTATCTGTTCTATCGCAAACCTTCGATAAAATCGATTGTTTGTTACATTTTCTTGAAGAACATGATTTGTGCATGATTGTGGAAATCCAATCTTCAAAAATCTTTTAATAATTCAATTTCAAAGTGTTCCCATTTTTTTGTAATTATTGACTTTATTTTATTTTTATTTTAATAACTGCTATAGTCAAACTCATTCTAATTAAGAATGTATTTTCATTTTTCATTTCATATCTGTAGAATGGCTGAAATTATGGAAACCATAAAACGACATTTTTTTTGTTTAACTACGTTCCAGAACGCGAAAAAATAATTATTAATTATAATTATTCTACATTGAAAAAGTTTGTACATATTTCACAAATGTCAATGAATATGTGTAAAGAATTGTCAAACAGGACCTAAAAACACGCTGTTAACAATAGAATACCCCCTTAACAAGCATAAAATTATATTAATTCATTTACTGTAAATTACTATTCGTATCTTTCAACACGCAATATTACCTTAGGTGTACATTCACCTGTGTCATGTTTGGAAATATGACTTAATTTCCGATATCGACCAGTCTAGGGTATCCGTCAACGAATCCGTTTTAATTTAATCACCTGTACATTTATTATGACAACTGATTTTTCATCATCGCGATACAAATATTTTTAATCGTGAATCGTTAATTTGTTCTTCTGTAAGTTTCGTTGTATCTTTCCGTTGAAACCCTTTTTCGAATATTTTATTATCAGTCCCGATTCGTCGCTCAACGGTTAAATATCTCTGGCTGAAATTATGTTCTAACAAAATATTCATATATTTTTTGAAAGCTTGATTTCTTTTGTTTCTATTTTTTCTTTTTTTCTTTTTTTCTTTTTTTTTGCCAGAAATTGCAAGCCGATATCTATTTTCAGTTAAAAGTTCCCCCCTTGGAAAGATTTTGAAAAACTCGAACTTGTTAATTTTTCGAGGAGAAAATAAAAATTATTTGAGAGTGGATCTATAAGTAGGAAAAAGTTTAGGAAAGAAATCCATATGTTTTGGGCGAAAACAGAAACCGAATCCTGTTTAGAAGCTATGCAGCATACTTGTTGCTCCGCTGATTATACGTAGAACGGCAGAATGCGAGGTGCGCCATCGCGTTCTCCCGCGCAGTAACACGTTTATATTATCATAATAATATTATTGGTGCAATTGAAATAACACTGGCGTTAAAGTGTTAAAGGATCGCGTGTCCTTAACGGCGACTCGAGCGAAGTAACGAGGGCATCCCCCTTCACGGTCGTCGTCATCAATAGACTAGGAAACGTACGGGAACGTTTATAGTCGACGAGCAACTACCGTGATAGTTAGTGGGAGGTGGCAGGTAGCTTTTAGCGCTTCGATGCTCCGACACTCGTTTCATTTCCACGCACCGTCTCTCGCGGGTTAAATCATTAAATGTTGACTGGCAACGTACGACACGTAACGATTTAAACAAGAACCGCGCGTCGAGCTACCAACCGAACGATACCAACGACGTCGCGTGACCGCGAGGTGATCCAACCCTCTATCGATCATCGAAATCGACGCGAAGAGATTCTTCTCCGCGTCGTTGACTAAAACTTATCACCGTTTTACCAGCTGGCAACAGTTTCGTTTCGAAATCTTTCGTGTCGAGAAGTCGCAACAAGACACTAAAACATTCCGCCGTTCACCGTTCCAAAATTCTTGCGAGGGTGCTTTAAAGCTCCAAGTATCGTCAAGAGTCGTGCTTTAGTTGGATTGGAATTTAGTCGAGAGAGCAAGTCGATGTGTTTGAAAACTGTCTGTAAAAGTGTTCGTGTTCTTGGTCGATTTCCAATTTCGAATTTTTCTCGAAGAAGAACAACCATCGAATCGACGAGTATCCTTATCGAACGTTTCACGCTGTTTTCCATTACTTCCTCGGACAAACGAGTCGGCATCTGTGAAAATGCGCTTGCGCTGAAAAAGCTCTTCTTTTCTTAATAACGATAATTTACGATATTTTCCCGCGCTCTTCCAAAGTACGAGCTGGCTCTATGACATTTACAATCTTCGCGTGTTTACAACGTGCGATCGACGCCTCGAAACTCGGAGAAGACCGGTCGACCAGTTGATCGATTTTATCGCAGTGGCTCAGAAGTAAGTAAAATACGATTTTTCAACGCAGTTTCTTCCCCGATCGAATGAACTTTTAAATGTTTTTCAACATTCTTTGTCAACGATAACAAACTATACGCAACAACGTGAATCTATCCAGTCGAATTACGGTCATAATCCGTTAAAATGTTACTTTAAAATAAATACTATATCGCAGCGGCACGTTTAAATTTTAATTTCCATGTTTGACCAGGAAATAATATTTGAAATTGCGATCGAATCGTAACTGCGCGAAATTTCAACCGATGACCAAGGAAACATTTTTTCTTAACAATTTTTCAATGTACTATTTAAATATATTTCTACGAGGGCACTAAACACCGATCTGCGTTATGAAAAGTGGTGGTGCATTAGAATTTTCTTACGAAGAACAACGCATTTTAGTGTGCCAAGTAAAACAACACATTTCATCGTTTCTTACGAATATTAGCACGATTAGTCTTCCATTACGAAAACTAACATATTAGGTACACAGTTTCGTCATGAGTACGGTTTAAATATTACGGTGGAAAACTATCATGTTTCGGCGTATGGTCGTTTCAAATCGTTAAAATACATTTTGCGTCGAATAATTGAATTTTTGAAAATATTAATAAAAAATAATTTCATCTAATTTCCAAAAGGAAAAGAATATTTATTTATTTTTAAATATATACTGTAAGTTAGTATTTAAATTTTATATGTATTTTCGAAAAATCATACACTCCCATTCCCATTCGTTCATTTACTGAATTGCAAAATTATTTATGACACCGCGTTTTACTTTCCTTCTCCTATTCGCGCAGTTTCCATAATTAAAAACAAGCCGCAGGTATGCAATTAGGTATTCAAATAGCAAATATATTATACAATCAATCGACATATCTATTTACTATTCAAAAACAAATTGCTATTAGTTTCTTGTTTTCAGCTTTGCTTCTTTTAAAATAAAACTATATCAATCGTTAGTTTTAGAACATACAATTAATGTTCGTATTTGCAGTTTTCTTGCAAATATTTTCTGATTAAATTCGTCTAGCATAAAGCGATGAAAAATGATGAAATTATTTTTTAAATATAGTACATGTAGAATATTGTCTTTTTTTTTCTTAAAGGGTGGTAGTTGAAATTATGAATAATTGAATATATGTATATTAGGTACGTGTTCGTCGATGGAACTCATAGATGTATGATCAGAAGTTAGCGTCCTTCGAATTCATATCATATCTGATCAAAAGTATGTTGACTAAATTAATTTTAAATACAGCACAATACGCTATAATTTCTTGGCTTAGATTAAAGAAACAATTTGTTCCAATTTTATCAAAGCGTATGCTTGCAAAGTCTGAAAGATTTTGCTGTTAGTTATTTCTAAAAAAAATATAATAGTACCTAGAACTTTTTACCATAGACCGGAAAGATTGTCGAAAACGAAGACCTGACGTTCTTTAAATGCAGTGGAACGACACTAGTAATTAGTCTATGTAAACTTTCATTTCTAATGAAAAACATCCATCATTTTCATAAATGATAATTTTATTGCAGTGGTTGTTTAGATATTTTCAAGGATACAAGGGAAATAACTTTTCCAGGAGCACATACGAGAAGTAGGTGAAATATCAGTCAAGTAGATAACGATCATTTACGTTTCGAAAGTTATGTACACTTTTGTGAAAAATATTTTTCTAGTTCCTTCTTTTAGAAGACCAGTGAAATGGTGATTTTACACGGAAAAATCAATATATAAGGAAGAAACTGTAAACAGAAAATAGCAATTAAGAAAAACGTCACTGAAATTTTTGTACAGAATAATATGTTTTAGTATCTCTCGATCGCGTTTTGGGAATTAAATTTGGCATAAAAAAAGGTTGAGTAAACTCTTTTACTATGTTCGATAACGAAGAAAAGAATTGATTAAATTTTCGTCTTATTTTAATTTGCAGAATCGCTTCCTAAAAGTGTTACAATTGCAGAATATTTTCTACAAAAGTTGCTCGTTTTTTGTTCTCGAAAAGATATAAAGAACTTTGAATTATCTCATTATCCAAAAGTAGATATTTAGATTATTTGTTCGGGAACAGAAGGTTGACAACACTCCCAGAACATGAAAGCAGCGGTGTTTAAAAGAATCAAGTCCAGGACACGCGTAGCGATCGTGATAACAAAATGATCGGCGAAACGTTTGTCGAAAACACGTCAATTAGTCGCGGTGGTCGCTCGTAGTGCGAACCAATCTTAACGAGTGTGATGACACCGCTTTTCAGCGATGGCACCGCTGCCCCCTCTTCCCGCCCTTCTCGGCAAATTTGTCGGCAACGAGATTGATTATTATGTCCTTGCGAGACTGACGATAATTACACAAACCGCTTTACTTTCAGTGCCACATGCCTGACACGCCGATTAGAGCTTTCGAGAGCAGCTTGACCTCGTTTCCTCTTGCACCGTTCGATCCGCGATCGGGAACGATACTCGACGCTCGATCAAAAGACAAGACCTTCCTATCCTGGTGAACGAACACGCATGCGTTACGGCCAGAATTGGCACATTTTATTCACCAACAGAGACAAATCTACCCTCGCCAACAAAAAGATATCGTACTGACCTTCTTCAAACTCCAGCTAATTCTGCGCGGGAAAATATAAAACACACACGCGCGCGTACAGTGACTCGAATTAATATTCGGACGTTACACAAATTTTGGGACATTGTTACTCTATACAGGGTGTTCGGCCACTCCTGGGGAAAATTTTAATGGGAGATTCTAGTGGCTGAGATAAGACGAAAATCAAGAATACCAATTTTTCGATTGAGGCTTTGTTAACAAATTATTAAAACATTAAATTAAAAAATTTCAAATCGTTCTCAAAAAAATTATTTTTGGCTGCAGGGGCCAATTATAATTATTTTTGGTCAACAGACATACCCACGAATTCCTACTCAGTTTCGAGAAAAAAATTCCTTACTGAAAATATAATGTGAGGCCAGAAGTGCTTCCCTGAATGCGTATCTTTAAAATGTCATAACTTTTGAACGGATTGGCAAATAACGCGTATTTTGGTGAAGAATATGTAGAAATTCAAAGAATATTTGAAAAGTTGTTCCTTAACCCCGTGAAGTGAGAAAACCCAATTTTCAAACATCCATAACTCCTGCAAAAGTGAATATATTTCAATGAAATTTTATTCTGGAGAAGAGCTCATAGGTACCTACAAAAAGTATTAGACAACTTTTCTGTAAGGCATCAAACAAAATTACTAAAAATCAAAAACAAATTTTTAAGAAGAATTGACAGGGGGTAGGTGTCTAAATTTTTCGGCGAAATAAAAAATTTCGAATCGTTCTGAAAAAATTATTTTCAGTTGCGGCGGTCAATTACAATCATTTTTGGTGAATACATATACCCCTGAAATCCTGCGCATTTTCGAAATAGAAGTTCAGTACGGGTGGAACTTGAAACGTTAATAACTTTTTAACGAAGCCTCCATCAAGAAATTGGTATTCTTGATTTTCGTCTTATTTTGCCCTCTAGAATCTCCTATTAACATTTTTTCCAGGGTTGGCTGAACACCCTGTATATTTTTTTATATCAAACTTATCGAACGGATTCTTTTTCAATATATTGTAATGCTTGTTCTAGTTGGTAAATATATAAATTTTATGAAGCGATGGACATCAAGTATTGATACACGTTTAAAAATCTTTATTTACCGACATTTTTGTAAAAATATAGTGTTAGTCCATTGTTTAAACAAGCGATGATGTCGTTTCCATCAGTTATTTCGATGGTATTCTGTGGGGAGGAGAAAGGAGTACGCCAGAAGAAAGAAAAATAAGTGAAGCATAATTAAAATTTTGCAAACGTGTCAAGTACTAGTAATCACATACGACGTGGTCACTCTCCGAAATTATCAGAAATAGAGAAGTGGAAAAAAATAAACGGCCAATAACACGGGAGCAGCCCTATTTCGAATGATTCGTTTTTATTTTTTAATTTGTCGTTTCAACAATAAAAGTAAAAATAGAGTGGTCCAACAATATATTTCCGGGTTTAATAAAATTCTACGGAGAAAACATGCTAAGAATGATGCTTCGAAGAGCGTATGCGATATTTTTCACACGTTTCTGTTCCGACGTCAGCTGGCTCTCGCTTATAGCCGTAAAATGTTCACACTATCTTGTCAATATAATATGATCATAGAAATCAAACTAATTATGAAAGCATGCTATATATTGTCGTACTTTTAGCGTAGATATTCGCAAAGAATGATGGCATTCTTTGCTTTCTGCCCTAAGGGGATCTTCTACTTTGAATTCTATTTGAGAGTCGAAATATTTAATAAGGATTACACAAAGGCGACTGGCCTTTGCATCCGTTTATAGTTATTGCAAGAACAGTCAGGTTGTTCAATTAAATTCCGTGCTCTTGATACGATCGACCTTTGCGATACCATTTTGAAAGTATCGAGTTTCGATATTCCTAACAGATTGTTTCGCTCGAATTAGTGCTTTTCAGTTGTTGCAAACTATTACAATAAAAATAGATACAATATAGACTACGCAGCTAATAACAACTAGTTGCTAATAATGACTATAAATCTTTGTAAGAAAAAAAATTTTTCTTGAAATTATATATGAATGTTAATACGCCTTAAATGATTGTGTCGAAAAGTTGAAATGCAGATTAAATGGTCTCGAAAGTTTGTTTTAATCTTCTATTTGACAAATTTTCTCTTCTACGTATGCACATGGATTACTTTTCGATATGAACTTTCTAAAAGACAGTTTATGAAAAAGAATATCCAACGAATCTATTGTAGTTCAACATGTGTACTATTAAACGTAAAGCATTTTGCAACCAACGTACAACAGCAAAACTCCCATTAATAAAAGGTCCTAGCAGAAATGCTGAATTAATTAATGACATTCGATGAGTGAAATTAACGCGTGTGTGATTCTAGAGGCTGCTCTAGCAAAGTTGTTCGCATTGTCGTTGCACCTGCGGTAGCCATCATTCGAGATCACGATTACATTGGCCGGATCGTTGAACTAAATTTCACAACGGATAATTGACAATTTAACCGATGTAGTTAATTACACTGTACCGTGCAACGACCTCAATGCGCCGCACCGTCGCAAACTATTTATACCTTTTAAAAGGTGCTGGAATTGTACGCATTGTTGTTGTATCGCGACCGATTTTGTTTTATTGGCTCGCTGCAAATAAGAAACAGCTATGTTTCCTAAAGTTACTTTTAATTCTGCGCGTATTTACAGAAGAAGTTCCTACAGAGGTACCTGTTTACCTTCCATACTTTAGAATAGACATTTTTTAAATATTTTAATTCAATCTTCTTCTCGTCTATCGCCATGTCATTTTCCACAAAAAGATCCATTTAATACCTTGACCAGTTATGTTACAGACCCTGAAGGCTCAACGACATAATTGCAAGGCAGGCGTGTCGTGGCTTAATGCCGTTCTAGAAAACGGCTGAATATTAGCAGACATTGACGGACATCCTGTACCAAATACTCGCTAAATAGACGATATCACGCGCGTCTGTTGAAAACTTTCCGCAGATTACACGAAATCGCGATCTTATGGATCACTTCATGCAACTTGACCTCCTCATTCCCTATAAAAACCTTTCGCCCATTTTATTTCCTCAAGAACTTTAATCCTTGTATTCGAATAGCGTTTTCTATTTTCAATTATCGTCCAGAACGATTTATTCAAACGGTTCACCTCTATTTGTCATTTTTTTGTTTTGTTTTGAATAATGATAAATATGTCCATGTATGGACCGTTTGGTTTGAAAGTCTCTGTATACAATTTACGAGTTTATTATACGAATTATATTATCTTCAACTCTGATACAATAAATCGAATTATTATTTTATTGGTCGATTATTGAATAAGAAACTCTTTGAAATAATAAGAATACCTACTAACATTCCTCAAATTATCTTTAAAAGCATAAGCGTACGCGTAAATTAACATGTATACTGCAAAAACGACTACCTAACATCAAGTTACTTTTGTTTCACTAGATTATGTATAGGTATATGTATGATAATTGCCCGTAAAAAGTAATGCGTATTTAGTTGCGCAAGGTAATATTGTTAATTAAAAGTTGAAATACTTACACGATAATCTTGTTTTGATAGAGATAAAAGCAAGGGTGATAATTTATGCATTATTGAAATACTAATTTCAGAAAACTACCCTTCAACGACCGTGTGGCCTAACGGATAAGGCGTCGGACTTCGGATCCGAAGATTGCAGGTTCGAGTCCTGTCACGGTCGAAAATTTATTTTTTTCTTTAAAATTTCGTTTTCTACGCTCGACTCCCTCTCAATATTATTTTCTACAAAAATAAATTTTTATTTTTAATTATAACCGACTCCCTAAAATATTTTATTGCAAAATATAATATTTTGCCAATTTCTTTTCGGTTTCCGAAAAATCAATAATTTATTTTTTCCATCGTACATCATCGAATGATAAAGTGCACAACCAATTATAACACATTTATTCTAAACAATAAATATCATACCGAAGTACGGGATTTTATTCAAACTCTCGTAAGTGTTTGTTCTTCTAGTACCTCCATGAACAAAATAATTTCTCTTTTTTGTATTATACATATATGTAATTATCGACATATTCGATGTATGTACATAATATATGTATAATGTACTAAATGTATGTATGTATGTACTATACAGGGTGTTCGGCCACCCTTGAGAAAAATTTTAATGGAGATTCTAGAAGCCAAAATAAGACGAAAATCAAGAATATCAATTTCTGAAATGAGGCTTCGTTAAAAAGTTATTAAAAAATTGAATTAAAAAATTTCAAATCATTCTGAAAAAATTATTTTTGGTTGCGGGGGTCAATTACAATCATTTTTGGTCATTTGGTCATACCCTCGAAATCCTACACATTTTCGAGAAAAAAATTCAGTACGGGCGGAATTCTAAACGTTAATAACTTCTTAACGAAGCCTCCATCAATAAATTGGTATTCTTGATTTTCGTCCTATTTTGGCCTCTAGAATGTTCCATTAAAATTTTTCCCAGGGTGGCCAAACAAGTATTTTGCTCTCGTTGTGGAATATATCGAATCGTTATGGTAATTCTGTGAATATGTCCATAATTTAATCTTTTCATATATGACAATGTTCTGCTCAAGGTTTACAAGATTTTGTTCAATCAAAGGTAGCGAGAAAACTGTGTACAACATCGACTGTTACGTACGATGGTTCGTTACGTCGAACATAATAGAATTGTGGGAACACGCAATAATTAAAGCGATCAAAGTGTGCTTCGTTTATGTGTTAAACGGGTGCAGTCATCTGTGAACCAAGGTTGTGCGTTCGTAATTTCATGTAAAATCGAAATTTCAATCAGGTATCGCAACCGTTATAAGATATATTTTGAACGATACAAGGATTAATATGTATATACTTAAATGATTTCGGTTACTAACCACTATAAATAATTAAATATCTTTTTTTGCCCCGTCTCGTTGAACAAAAAAATGATGATCAACGAATCTGAAAAGAGTTCTAAACGCTCTGGAATAATATCATTTTAAATACTTCTTCTTCGAGACCGTCTTAAAATCAATAAATTTTCGATTTTTTAAAATATCATTTTCCAATTCGATCCGATCGATGACCGTGCGTGCAAGGAATTATGATTGTTCGTTAGTGATTTCATATTTTGTCGAAACGAATATTTGCACTTGGCTTGGTTCCCTTCGCGTCACGATATTGCACTAACAATCTTATTAATCCGTGAAGGAAGATAAAATTCTCGTCGATGCGAATCACGTACCGCTTTTAAATCGCTTTGTAAGCAGACTCTATTGTCATCTCCATCGTCGGGAAGCTTCTAAATCGTTGTCTTTCAGTACGTTACGACCCACGCCCATTATCAGTGCAATTACAAATTGGCCCTACTTAACCTCTGGATATTGATTTCAAAGCACGTGATCCCGTCCCGTTATAGGATCGTGCATTTCGATGGAAAAAACAGGAGAACGTTCCCTCGCGGGCTCTCGATCTTCTTCGAACCAAGATTAACGACTATTCTCGATTCACGATCGATCGTTCGTATGTCTCGTAGAAGATCGTTGAATGACAATTGATCGTCAAAGCAACATGCAATAAATACGATGCAACGCGGTTAATCGTTCGATTAGTTTCTTTCAAAGAAATTACAATAATTCTTTCGTAGAATAAAATGACGAAACGTTACAAAATACACGCAAGGGTTTCGTTGTTCGTTATTTTACGTGACTCTCTATCTTTAAGCATTAACATATTTGTTATTCAATCAATAATAACGGTTTTCTGGCGATAGTGCTCGAGAAACGCTTAAAAAGTTTCACTTATAATTACATACGATCATTTCTAGCTACATATTTATTATTTGCGATATAGTACTTTAGTATCGCTCTAGCATTAACATTTGTACAAAGAAAAAGATAGCTTGCTTGAGTCTGTCGCATTTAACTCGATACGGGAAAAACTAATGGCGATGCATAAGCGGCGAACGATTGGCAAAAAGGGAATTTTCATTTGCACGGTTTGCCATCTAATAGTATTTTTGTTCACTTTCGTCGCTTTCAAATCACGCGTGTCCGTGAAAAGAAAAATCGATCTCTATTTAACCACTTTAAAAAACAATAACGCGTTACATAGGCGTACTGGTTTTTTTGCTTATGTAACTATAAATCTGTTTTTGCGACGTGTTTCAGTTCGCAAGTGAGCGCAGAACCTAGTCCCGCCGACGAACAGCAGCAGATCAGCGCAGATTCAGCAGGAAGAGCTCGCCGAGATCCAGCAATCCGCAAGAACAAGATCAATTTAATATCGATTGAAGCCCATCGTCGAGCACGAAGATTTCTCATCTGACCCTATCACCAAGCCAGATTCACCCAACTGCGTCGATATCGTAGAATGGTAGAGAGTGAACCTGGCTCAAAGCACAATCATAGTACGTATCTTTCGATTTTTACTGCTCGATTATTCGAAACAATTTCGGAAACCACAATTCGAAAGAAAGAAACTACATATCGATTATAACGGGCATTTTGTCATGTAGAGAAACACGTTTTAAGATCACACGACCATATTTTTCATTGAGATTTTACACATATTTAAGTCTTATAAGTCCGCGGATGATAATTTCGATTTCGTTTTATTTTTCCCCTGCATTATTCAAGATAAAAATAAATACAATACTCTCGAATATCGACCGAATAGTACGTCTATTGAACAAGGATATTGCATGCCAGATTGCATATTCATGTATCGAGGGAGATAAAATGGTATATGCGTCATATAGCCGTGAAATTTTCAAGTGTGGTAGCTTCAAATAAGCTTCTTTCAACTCGTAAATTGCTGAAAAAACGGGTCTGGATCAGTAATTTTCAACCGATGTTTTGCAAGTTTACGAATTTTTTTAAATAAGTGATACATTGATGATAAAGTAAAAAGCAAAGAGGGATAAGCTGAAAAACATCTTGATCGACATACATACATACATATGCTTTACCCGATTCGACGACCACTTTCCTTTAGCGTTTTTTGAGACAATAGATAACACGATGATACCTAGCTAGGTCCTTGAATGAAAACAATTTTTGAAACGACAGTTTATACAAATTATGATAAAAAACAATTAAAATTGACGAGAAAAACTGATTACAGAATTCTTGAATCGTAATTCTGTTTTGATTTCCATCGATTCAAATGCTTTGCAAATTTATGATAATTTATTAATGTTGTCTCTAATCTTTATGCTTTGGAACACTTTTTTTTTATCAAAGGTTGTACACTTCTATGCTGCAATAATGAGACGATAGCGTTAGAATTGCTTTTTTAATCCTGTATAAACATGCACAGATCTTAAAATATACAATTCTGCTAAAAAAAATCATATTTACCTTTCATTCTCAATAAGAAGAACGCATACTGGCTTCTGGTTTCGCACGGAAAGTATTTGCAAACATACCTGTAATAATATTCTAGAAAGAAAACTTACACGTGTCTGTAAACAATATATTGGTGAAGTTATTAAAAATTACCCCATCGTGGATTTTAGAATGGGACCTTTTTTAATTGAAAACAATAAAACGTCAGTCTGTATGGAGTCCGATAGATTTATTTTGCAAATTCGTCCTTAAAATTTTGATAGCTTATTTTTGAAATGTCGAACATTGGGTTGATTTTTTTAATCCGTTACACGAACATCTCCCCTTAAATTCTTGTCGAAAAGTTACTAATTTCAATCGATTTTCGTGCCCCCCTCGGTGTAATGTCAATATTTGATGGATCTATTATATGATCCGAGTGTTAACTTTCGCGCATTGCGAGTTCCGTGTAATTTTAATTCAAACGGTGTAACACGGTTGAAACGGAACTATACATGTTTGAACTTTTCTATTATAGAGTGTGATGTAAAAGACGAGCGGCTAAACGGCTGTGGCTCCAAGGATCTCGAACTTGCCCGTAGGTAGAAATTTTCTAATATTTCCAACAGAACTTCTGACCGATTTGTTCAATACTTTGTACTTTTTTGCAACAGGTATTGGAACTAAGGGCAAAACCCTAGATCCCGAGAAAGGATCCTGTGTTAAAGCAGACTTTGAGAAGGCCATTGAGCTTACCGGTAATCAGATTCTTAATGTATTTCCAACTTGGAAACTTATGTTCTTATTTTTTAACACTCTTTATCCTAACCAGTTTTTCCACGTACATATCTGCAACCAGCAACAGACATATTTAAGTATTTTTGTGTAATTTTAGACTATGGGAAATTCCACTACTTCCTCCTCACGGTATGTGGTTTCGTCAGCACCAGCGAGGAGATGGACGTGATTTCCATGTCCTTCATCCTACCGAGTGCACAATGTGATCTAAAGCTCGACACACAAGCCAAGGGATGGCTCAATTCCATTATCTTCATCGGCATGATGGCCGGCGCGTACGCTTGGGGCTCTGTAGCGGACGCCCTAGGTCGTCGAAAGGTTCTCATCGCCATCTCATTCACGAACGCGCTATGCATCGTAGCCTCCAGCTTCAGCCAATCCTATGAACTCTTCATGTTCTTTCGCTTTCTCAACGGCGCTGCGTAAGCAACTCAATCTAAGAATCTATTTCTAATATTATACAATAGACAAAAGGACAATGATGAAAATCGTTCCCGTGTTTCTTGAAAATGTTTATGTTAGTGGCTTGAACTATACAGGGTGTTCGGCCACCCATAGGAAAAATTTTAATGGGAGATTCTAGAAGGCAAAATAAGACGAAAATCAAGAATATTAATTTCTTGACTGAGGAGGCTACATCAAAAAGTTATTAAAAGATTTCAAATCATTCTGAAAAAATTAGTTTTGGTTGCAGGGCTCATTTTACAATCATTTCTGGTGAATACACATACCCCTGAAATCCTATCCACTTTCGAGAAAAAAATTCGAGTAAGTACTGGAATTTTTAGGCGAAATTAAAAAATTTCAAATCATACTAAAAGAATTATATTTAGTTATAGGGCTCGATTACAAGCATTTCTGGTGAATAGAGATACCCCGAAATCCTATGCACTTTCGAGAAAAAAATTCTTTATCGAAAATCTAATGTGAGGCCAGAAATGATTCCATGCGAATCTTTAAAATGTCATAACTCCTGAACGGATTGGAGGATTTTAATTTTTCAAAATGCAAACAACGTGTATTTTAGTGGAGAATATATAGAAATTCTAACAATATTGAAAAAGTTGTTCCTTGACACCGTAAAGTAAGAAAAACCCCATAAATCTGGTTCAATTTTCGAACGGTCATAACTCCTACAATAGTAACAGTATCTCATTGAAATTTATTGGCGAAGTAGAGCTCATGGGTATTTATAAAAAAGTATTAGACACCTTTTCTGTAGAGCGTCAAAGAAATTTATGAAAAGTGAAAACCAAATTTTTAAGAAAAATCGACAAAGGGGTATAGGTGCCTAAATTCTTCGGTGAAAAAAAAATTTCAAATCGTTCTGCAAAAATTATTTTCAGTTGCGGTGGTCAATTACAATCATTTTTTGTCATTAGACATACCCTCGAAATCCTATCTACTTTCGAGAAAAAAATTCGAAAAGGTGTGAAATTTTACGAAAAATTTAAAAATTTCAAATCGTTCTGGAAAAATTATTTTCGGTTGTGGGGGTCAATTACAATAATTTTTGGTGAATAGACCTACCTCCGAAATCCTACCCACTTTCTAGAAAAGAATTCAGTACGAGCGGAACTTTAAACGTTATTATTTTTTTAACGAAACCTCCATCAACAAATTAGTATCCTTGATTTTCGTCTTATTTTGGCCTTTAGAATGTTCCATTAAAATTTTTCCCGGGGTGGACGAACATCCTGTATAACGGGTGAACTAAAAGATTTAACCAATTTTAAGAATATGCTAGCCGAAACGCCGAACCTAACCTAATTATTAAAACTAATTATCGAAATATTGATTAAATTAACTAATTTGTTTTAGTGATTAGATCAGGTTTAGCTATATTTTATATCGACAATATGCATAACTTTGTCAGCGTGTTCTACAAGCAAATGTAAACGAAAAATGTTATATGAACATAAGAAATTATAACTGATAACACAAAATGATAATGAACTGGCGTTTCGTCGACATAGCGTACGAACGTGTCACCTAGTTGCTGATGAATTCTCACAAACACTGACCTACAGTGCTGGATATAAGTATGGTACAGCATAGTTGTTGTGATACAAATGCTTATAACTACTAAACAAATTGATTTGAAGAAATACTTTTTGATATAGTCATTTATTATCTATTTTAGTTTATTACATAACAGAAGCAATAATATAAATACATTGATTCACATAACAATAACAAAAATATATTTATTGAACATTCTATGGGTAGTCAAAAGTATTGGCACATGATGCTAAATGTAAAATATCCACATTTGATTGCAAAATTTCCGATCATCGTTTTAAAATATAGGTAGGGAACTTCCCGATTGTCATTTCTAAAAACTATCATACTAAAGTTCAGTCGTCTAGCAACAGGGAAAATAAGAAAAAGTAATAATGTCAAGAAAAGTGAAAGAAACCACAAGTGAAGAGAAAGAAATAATACTAAATTTATATAAAATGCAAAAATCTTATAGTAAAATATCACAAATTATTAACAGAAGTCGTTTTACTATTAGAAGCATTGTAAAACGATTTATAAATCAATTAGATTTTGATAATACGAATCGAAGTGGTCGTCCTCCTAAGTTATCTATTAGAGAAAAACGTAAAATTGTAAACGAAGTGAAGAAACATCCTAAATTAAACTCCTCAGAACTCAGAATGATATTAAATAAAGAGTATCGAAAAGAAGTAAGTTCGAAAACTGCGCAGAGGGTAATAAAAACTGCCGGATATTCTGCGTGTGTTGCACGAAGAAAACCATACATGAGAAAAATCGGAAGATGAGGGTTGAATTTGCCAAAGAATTTACAACGAAGGATTCTACATTTTGGAGGAACATACTGTTTTTAGATGAAAACAAATTTAATATATGTATTTAAATCGGATGGTAGAATATTAGTTTGGAGAAAACCAAATACTGAACTCGATCTACGAAATTTACAATCGTGTGTAAAATATGGAGGTGGTAGAGTTATGGTGTGGGATTCTATGGCAGCGTCTAGGGTTGGTGAATTAATTCGTATAGATAATATTATGGAGAAATACTCATATTTAAATATATTAAAACAAAATTTATTCAAAAGTGCGGAAACATTAAACCTTCCGCGTAATTTCTATTTCCAACAAGATTGCGATCCAAAGCACACCGCTTATATCGTACATCATTGAATCATTTATAATATTTCTCATTCCCTAAATACACCACCCCAGAGTCCAGACATGAAACCTATCGAACATGTCTGGAATGAATTAGAAAAACGGGTTAGAAAGCATCATATAACAAACAAAGCAGAATTAAAGAATGTTCTTTCAAAAGAATGGAACAAAATCGAGCCGGATTTTTAAAAAGTTAGTTGATTCAATGCCCAAACGATTAAAGAAAGTCCTTCAAAAAAAAAGAAGGGTCAACTAAACATTAATATTTAATTCCAAGTCATTTTTAAATGTTTTTATTCGAGTGTGCCAATACTTTCGTCCACCCATAAAATGTTCAATAAATACAGTTTTGTTATTGTTTTGTGAAGCAATGTATATATATTATTGCTTCTGCTATGTAATAAACTAAAATAGATAATAAATGAATATGTCAAAAAGTTTTTCCTTCAAATCAATTTGTTTAGTAGTTATAAGCATTTTTACTACCATAACCATGCTGTGCCAATGCTTATGTCTAGCACTGTATGTGGTGTTCTTCTTTGAGGGAATCTTCGCTGATATTCCCTTACAGCAGTTGGAGCATTTCCATTACAAAATCTATAAATGAAATGTATATCAACGTATTCACGATTGGAAAATTCTGGCGGCATCTTGATCGTACAGTGTACTGCGTACTAAACATTATTAACTCAGCAGAAATCAATGACGATATCAACTACTTCAGCAAGTAAACATTAGAGTTTATGTAAACACAAATAGATATTCATAATACGTTCCTACGTTGTGTCGACGAAATGCCAGTTCATTATCATTTTATATTATTAGTTATAACTCCCTAATAAAACATTTAAGAGCATATGTTCATATAACATTTTTTCTTAGTTTTGATTGTAGAACACACCGGCAAAGTTATGCTGAAAAAAAACTGGGACACTCTGTCTGTATGAGTTAGGTCTAGACTAGTAGAAGTGAATTTGGTAGTACAGTAAAAACTCAATAAATGTCCTCAAGAGCTGTTCCGTAAATGATACATTTTTATCCCCACCCCTAGGGGGATCCCTCTTGAACCAGCGAGGCTAAGTGTAACCGGAGACGTAGCAGCTTTCTTTAAAAATCTTTATTGCCTTCGTCATCTTCGTTTAAATGCCCCTGTCAGTGTGACTACACTACTGTACAAGAAGAAAGTTTTTTATTTTTTATTTTTTTTTAATACAAATTTTACTATCATGTGGGGGAGATTTTTCTAATTAAAATAAAACTAAACACGATATAAATCGGCCAATAGCATAATATTGAATTAAATATTGTACTTGAGAGTCTTTCTCTCTTTGTTTATCCTTCTTGTGATGTCCTTTTCTATCTTCGGAAACATCAAAGAACGTCGGATTGAGATGCTGGGTACATTTATCGAATAGGAGGTAGCTATTTTCAAACGGAATGCTTCCGCTGTTCCGTAAATGATCAGAAACTGCAACACTTATGAAATAGGTTTCGTTAGCTACCATTGTTCGATAAATGTACTATCCACTGACCTTGCGAAGATACCAGTACGTACATGTTTTGGAGGTGCTATTAAATACCTTCCCCTAACTCCACTGAGACATTTCACTCGAAATTGAACACGTTTTGGTACACAATTTCAGATTTTCTGCAAACTGAAATATTTTCAGAAATGTAATGTGTAATAGATATTTAAACTGGGGCGATAAATCCTCTTTCTTCTTTAGCTACTGACTCTTTCTATGTTCGAGGCGTCGGCAAACTACAATCAAATTCGAAAAACGATTCTCCTATTCCATAAGTGCTCCTGACCGGACCCGGAGTAGTGACATTTTATCGAGTTTTCACTGTATATAGGGTGTTCGGCCACTCCTGGGAAAAATTTTAATGGGATATTCTAGGGACCAAAATAAGACGAAAATCAAGAATACCAATTTTTTGATCGAGGCTTCGTTAAAACGTTATTAACGTTTGAAATTCCGCCTGTGGTGCAGCAATATGCGAACAGCTGCGTACGCGTGATAGTAGTTCTCATTCACAAAACTGTAAGACTATCGATACGTCAGTAAATAGAGTTTCTCGTGCTGAATGAGAACCACTATCACGCGCACACAGCTGTTCGTAGATTGCCGTTCTACAAGCGGAACTTTAAACGTTAATAACTTTTTAACAAAGCCTCAATCAAGAAATTGGTATTCTTGATTTTCGTCTTATTTTGGCTCCTAGAATCTCCCAATAAAATTTTTTCCAGGGGTAGCCGAACACCCTGTATACCAACAATACTTGCAAATATCTCGGAAACTGAGACTGAGCAACAATTGAGCCGTTCACAGGACAAGTCGACTAACTCTATTTTTTGAAATATTTTAAATTTAAGTATTAAAACACTTGGTTCAGTCATAACTTTTTATATTTATTATTTTCCAAAATAATAAAAATGAATACCATTAAACAACAAATATTATATTTTTTAGCCGTTGAGTAATAAATAATTTATTTCAGAATCTATTCTGTGCTTAATGATAACGGTAAATTTTTTAGTGGCGTATTATCAAAATTAAAATAAAATAAATTAGTCAGTCAGAGTCTGACTGCCACAGAAGCAAATACTTGTGAGGTCTAATGAATTATTATTAAGAATAAATTTTTATTGGGTATATTTTAACTTGTGCTGTATTCCTTATCAATCTTACATAGATTACATATTTTTTCAACCTTGTCAGCGCCACTCCCAGATCGTATCTGCGTGTTGAATTATTAAACATTTAGGAATAAATGAAGACGGAAATATAATTATTAGCAATTAGTTGATTTCTTTTTGCTGATACAGCGATGTGTCGCACGAGTGATCATGAACGAGACTCTCTCCGGGAGATCGGTAGCCCTTGCCTTTTATAGGCGCTACCAATCGTCCCTTTTTATGCCTTCTGTCGAGTGCAAGCGAAGAACAATAGAACTATATAATAATTAACTTCTTCTTTAATAAAAAATATAGAAATTTGAACACTGAATTTAATTTTATTAGTTATTTCACTTGCTAAACCGATTACACTCCCCTAGTCACATGAAAATTTTAACATTACTGACGATTACTCTAAAGCTATTCTATTTTATATACCGTTAGATGAAAGCTACATATGTATTTATGCATGCTACAAAGTTTATTTGAATTTATATGATGAAGGAGTTTTAAAAAACAATGTATATTATTTCATCACATTCCTTCATTTTTTGTTTTATAGAGATAATCGATTTGTCCTGTGAACGACACAATTATTGTTCAGATAAAAGTTGTTCACAATCTCATCCACTATAATATACCAAAAAATAATTTCTTAAAATTTTAAGTCTTTTTTGTAAAAAAACAATGCTAATGCATTCTACTTTTTCAACCTTCCCCATCTATATTTCTTTATAAAGATCAGATACAGCCTTTTGTGAATAAGCCACAAAAAAATGTATACAGATTTAGGGCAACGGTATTAAAGCAAATATGGGAAAGTTATGATTTTTTTTTTAAGATTGATACTTAATTTTTTTAATTTTCACGATATTTATATAAGAATCATATTAAATAAATCAACACGAAGCATCGGTTAACTTTTTCGTTTTAGGTTTGGGGGTTCATCATATTGGACTTGAATCTTTTGGGAAATTAATACTTGCAACGATTCTTATTGTCATTTACATTTTTTCAGCAGAACCATATTGTATATACAGTGACTGTCACTTAAAATCATACATCTAGCGGTTCAACCGATATTTTTTCAATAAAACATGAAAATTGTTCAAAATTATTGAAACTCATATAGAGGTATATGTATAGTATAATGTTTCTTTATTTGATACATAACAACAATACAAAACAATCTTTAGTAGTACTCAGTAAATTAAATAAAATTTGAGGTTGCGTATGAAACATAGTTGTCGTTAACATTGGAAATCCGGTGAATCCCCAATTGTTTGTTGTGTAACAATGCTTAGGAACGATTGAATCTAGCTGAGTTATGCCAAAAAATCAATAAAAAAGACTTAAAATGCGTCAAACTATAGTAGCGGAGCGTGAATTAGTTATTTATCACTATAAAAACAAAAAAAGTTATAATGAAATTGGTAAAATTATTAATCGAAGCAAAGGTACAGTTCAACTTATAATTAAACGATAGAAAGAAGAGGACCGTGTAGTGAATAAATTAAAAAAGAGGTCTGATAAGAAACTGAATATCAGGGATGAACGATGGATTGTTAGAGAAATTAAAGATTATCCAAGGATTAGTGTTCCAAAATTAGCGTCGGAAGTTGAAAAATATTGAAATAAGAAAGTAAGTGATTGAACCATTAGAAGAGTATTAAGAAAACAGAAGTATGCTCGATAGAAGCCGTTCATAAGTTTGCAAAATAGGAAGAAGAGGTATGAGTTTGCTAAGAAGAATATAAAGGAACAATTTACTTGTTGAAAAAATGTAATTTTTACTGACGAATCGAAATTTAATATCTTCGGTTCGGATGGAAGAAAAATTGTATGGAGAAAACCAAATACAGCTATGGATATTAAAAATCTCCGAGTGACAGTTTTTGGCGGTGGGTCTGAAATGGTCTGGGGCTGCATGTCAGCATCTAGCGTTGGAAATCTAGTATTTAGTGATAATATAATGGATAAGTGATCGTATTTGAGTATATTAAAAAATAATTTAAAAGAAAATGCCGAAAAAATGGGAATTTTAAACGGTTTTAAATTTGTAAATTTTACGCTGACGACGATCCAATGCACAATTCTTACGTAGCGAAGACTTGGCTATTGTATAACTGCTCTAAAGTTCTTCAAACGCCCCCACAATCTCCTGATATCAACGTCATAGAACATATTTGAAACGAATTGGACAAAAAAGTAAGATTACACAATATTACAAACAAGGAAAGCCTTAAAAAAGCTTTGCAAGCAGAATGGACACCTGAATTTTGTGAGAATTTAGTAAAATCAATTCCTCGACGACTGCAGTGTGTTCAAAATACATTTGGTTACCCAACTAAATATTAATATAAACAATTTTTATTATATATTATTCTAAAACTGTATCTTATTTCCTCTGTACGATTTTTACTGACAGCTAAGTTTCATACGCAACCTCAAAGGACCCCTCACAGATCTTATGGAAAATGGCCCCCGGTTAAATTAGCTGAACTTTTGATATGATGTAGTTCATTGTGTCTTGATGAAAAGTTCCAATGGGCTCAAGCTCGTAAATTGAACAGTTTCCGAGATACAGGGTATCAAAAGTCAATAATAGTGCGCCTTATTCTAGACTATCATGTTTGAGCATACCTGAGTGTAAAAAGCACTGTTGTACAGTGCCCATATATTTGACACCTTAAAACTCTATAGTAATACTGTGGGCCCTTAAATATTATCCCTAGGCCCCCTGACCCTTTGCTGCAAAAAGATGATGAACCGCTAGGTGTACGATTTTAAGTGACAGTTACTGTATGGACGTTTTTCTTTGTTTTAGGCTCGGAGGTAGCGGACCTGTCATCTGGTCATACTTCGCTGAGTTTCAGCCAAAGTCTAAACGAGGCTCGATGCTGTCTTTTATGGCTGCCTTCTGGACACTTGGGAACCTCTTTGTTGCTGGTGAGCAATTCGGTATATGTCTCTGATTAAAATGCATGTGACTTTTCATTTTTTTTCAGGCTTGGCATGGTCGATCATCCCTAACGACATCGGCATTGCGAGTTCGGCGTTCACATACAATTCTTGGCGAATCTTCCTGCTGATCTGCGCTGCTCCGTCGTTTATCGTCGCGGGGCTGCTCCTGCTGCTCCCTGAATCCCCTAAATACCTCTTGTCTTGCGGAAGATACGAAGAGGCACTCGACATCTTCCGCGGGATATACGCCATTAATACTGGCAAACCGCGTGACAGTTACACGGTAAATACTTCTTTCTTATATCTATTCTATATGTCAAACTATTTTTAACCCATTCAGTCGGCATTTGTTCTGGTAAACCTGCACATTAGTGAATTTGCCCTAAACCAACACATTTTTATCCGATATTTTTCAGAAAAAGGTGTATTATAATTTACAACAAAAATGTAGATTGGAAAAGCTTAAAACAGTAATGTGTATTTACTATTTTTTTTTAACAAAAAAAGCTGAAGAATGCAGGTACTGATAACGAAGTATGTTATACAGAACGAGATTCTGAACAACTTTTATCCGAGCAGTAATTATCGCTCGATCTTATTTTTAGAGATACTTCCAAAAATTGATGGTATTATCGCATTTTTTAACGATGAGACTGGTCTTTTTTTAAGCAGCTTTATTTTTTCACTATTTAACGGATTAGTAGAAAACAACCTTAATTCTTTAACAGTGTTACGAATAAAGAATATTTTTGTTCAAATGTATATTTTTTGAAATTAAAAATTAAAAGAATATCATACATGTGATTAAAGTATCAACGTAGAAATTTATTTGTCTAATACGATTTTAACAATTTTGATAAAATAATCATTTTTAATGGCTATATCCCACAGGTTAAAGAATTGATTCTCGACGACTTTCAAGAGCCGGAACCGGCGAAGATTGGCGTCGAAAAAAACAAATGCAAAACAATGCTCAGCGATATCGTAGACAACAGTAAACAACTCTTCATATCACCGATTCTTCGCTTCACCATCATCTCGATCATTATCAACTTCACTTTTCACATCGGTTATTATGGTCTGATGATGTGGTTCCCGGAACTGTTCAATCGTTTCGACGAGTTTCATCGCGATCATCCCGAAAAGATCGCTTCGATATGCCAGGTTACCGAATACGTGGTTCAAAAGGGGTCTCACAATGTTGAGAATCTTTGTTCGGACAAAATCGGCGCCTCTGTTTTTTTAGAGTCGTTGATCACAGTGGCATCCGCCATTCCTGCAAATATTGTCGCCGTTTTAGGAATGGATCGTCTCGGTCGTAAATTCTTTCTTGGTACGTATAGTATTCACTTCTAATCTTTTTGTAACTTTATTTCATCGTATAAGGTTTGGAGTCGCGCCTAAAACTAAAAAATAGTTTACTTTTGCACAGATCACAGATTTCTTGCTCTTCGAACAACGTACACGGTTGTTCACAAATACCGCGCTAATTGACAGAACGATCTTATATGTATGATTTTGTGAATAGATATATGTATAGTATAATGTTTCTTTATTTGATATATGACAACAATATAAAAAAACCTTTAGTTGTACTCAGTAAAATAAATAAAATTTAAGGTTGCGTATGAAACTTAGCTGTCAGTAAAAATCGTACAGAGGAAATAAGATACAGTTTTAGAATAATATATAATAAAAATTGTTTATATTAATATTTAGTTGGGTAACCAAATGTATTTTGAACACACTGCAGTCGTCGAGGAATTGATTTTACTAAATTCTCACAAAATTCAGGTGTCCATTCTGCTTGCAAAGCTTTTTTAAGGCTTTCCTTGTTTGTAATATTGTGTAATCTTACTTTTTTGTCCAATTCGTTTCAAATATGTTCTATGACGTTGATATCAGGAGATTGTGGGGGCGTTTGAAGAACTTTAGAGCAGTTATACAATAGCCAAGTCTTCGCTACGTAAGAATTGTGCATTGGATCGTTGTCAGCGTAAAATTTACAAATTTAAAACCGTTTAAAATTCCCATTTTTTCGGCATTTTCTTTTAAATTATTTTTTAATATACTCAAATACGATCACTTATCCATTATATTATCACTAAATACTAGATTTCCAACGCCAGATGCTGACATGCAGCCCCAGACCATTTCAGACCCACCGCCAAAAACTGTCACTCGGAGATTTTGAATATCCATAGCTGTATTTGGTTTTCTCCATACAATTTTTCTTCCATCCGAACCGAAGATATTAAATTTCGATTCGTCAGTAAAAATTACATTTTTTCAACAAGTAAATTGTTCCTTTATATTCTTCTTAGCAAACTCATACCTCTTCTTCCTATTTTGCAAACTTATGAACGGCTTCTATCGAGCATACTTCTGTTTTCTTAATACTCTTCTAATGGTTCAATCACTTACTTTCTTATTTCAATATTTTTCAACTTCCGACGCTAATTTTGGAACACTAATCCTTGGATCATCTTTAATTTTTCTAACAATCCATCGTTCATCCCTGATATTCAGTTTCTTATCAGACCTCTTTTTTAATTTATTCACTACACGGTCCTCTTCTTTCTATCGTTTTATTATAAGTTGAACTGTACCTTTGCTTCGATTAATAATTTTACCAATTTCATTATAACTTTTTTTGTTTTTATAGTGATAAATAACTAATTCACGCTCCGCTACTATAGTTTGACGCATTTTAAGTCTTTTTTATTGATTTTTTGGCATAACTCAGCTAGATTCAATCGTTCCTAAGCATTGTTACACAACAAACAATTGGGGATTCACCGGATTTCCAATGTTAACGACAACTATGTTTCATACGCAACCTCAAATTTTATTTAATTTACTGAGTACTACTAAAGATTGTTTTGTATTGTTGTTATGTATCAAATAAAGAAACATTATACTATACATATACCTCTATATGAGTTTCAATAATTTTGAACAATTTTCATGTTTTATTGAAAAAATATCGGTTGAACCGCTAGATGTATGATTTTAAGTGACAGTCACTGTATGTAGATTCTTTATTTAGCCTGTATAAATTCATCTTACAGCATCAAAAAGTGATAAAATGCAGTTATAAGGAATTATAAATATTTGTAATCAACTTAGTGTTAATCCAATTAAAAAAAAAGTAATCTTTAATTATTTTTTAAATTTTATGAAAAACTTGTTTGCAGTGTTTAGTACGCTTTCATCAGGACTGTGTTCAATAGGGTTATACTTTGTGTATAATAAACACCATAATCTGATTGTTTCGGCTATCTTCAGCGGTGTGATAAGTTGTGGAAACGCAGCGTTGGACTGTCTAATAACCGAGGTTTTCCCAACGCATCTTCGCGCGACCGGAATAGCCATTTCTATGGTCGCAGCACGTCTAGGTGGAATTATTGGAAACATCGTAATAGCTCAACTTTTGGATATGTACTGTCCAGCACCAACTTTTATAGTTGCTGCCCTCTTAATTGGTTGGTTCTGTATTAAATATTTTACTCCTTTCTTTATTATCATGTGTCACTCTTCAAAGAATAAAAATGTAATTTTTTTTTCTATTTTACAGGAGGAGGATTATTGTGCTTATTCTTACCAAACACAACGCGGGAACCACTTTCTTGACACTGGTGGGGAATTACATCAGACCTAAATCGATGTACAGTCATATACACATTTTTAAGGAAACTCGACGTTTTAAAATAGCATATGTATGCACATACATCTGCTCATATTTAGTTCATAAACGAATGATCATTGTAAACAGCATATTCCTGTAATCGAGCTTCACATTCTTATTTTACATATCAAATTTAAATGACAATAAAGAAGTAACATTAGCAGTTAGGCTCCATAATAGATCGCAAACTAAATTTAAAAAAAAAAATATGATACGAATGCGAATTCGTATGACATTCTCAAAGTATATGAAATTTATACACTGATTCTGAATCCGAAATGTAGATACAGCACCTATACAATGGAATTTAGGTAACATATTACTATGTACTTTTTTATGTTTCATCGTTCGTTCACATTTCCAACACAGCCATTATTGTCGTACGTTGTCTTTTACATTGTAATTTAAAATGTAACAGATGCAAGAATTTAAAATATAAAAAAAAAATGTAACAACGAAAGAAAGTAAAATTTTATTAAAAATACTCGTTCTCCGGAATTTACTATAATAATATCACAGGCGAGCTATATGAATAGACCTTTCACCACAGACAAGGTATATGAATAGACAATAGCAGTGTGGCCAGATCTGGCATAATTGAGTGCATCGACGTCGACATTAGTAACGATGAACTTCCTTAGCGTCTAACGGAGTGGTGGGGATAGCAGGCATATACTACCGCTCGAGCCACGCATGCGTGAGCTCGACACTTCGCGCAGCTTCGGGAAAACGATAAAGAACGCTAGCGTGAGCCTTTCCTTCTTGCTCTTGTAACAACTGAAATACGATCTCGCGATAATCGGCATACGATTCCAAGTCTCGACTGCCCCAGCATTTTTACTTTCCGACCTATGCAAGGTGAAAGGAAAGTACCATAACGAAGAAAAATTTCGAAAACTTTTTTTAGCGAAAATACACGTTTTAAGACCCACTGATCATATTGTGACTGTTAAAAAAAAGAAATTTTTTTTCTGTACCTAAACGACTGAATGTATTTCAATGAAACTTTACATTTATGTTTTATGTTCCCGTTTCAATGTCTGATTAAATTTTGAGCGTGATCAGCTCCCGGATAGTGATGATTATACGTGTTATAGTTTTATAATTACGATCTAAATAGGAGAATTAATTGCTACAGAAATAGATTAATCCTGACTTTTTCCGCTATGTTTTTCAATAACCGTATCAATATGTTACACAGAATCAAATGTTATACAGGATGTACGGCCGCCCCTGGGGAAAATTTTAATGTGAGATTCTAAAGGCCAAAATAATACGAAAATCAAGAATATCAATTTTTTGATTGAGGCTCCGTTATAAAGTTATTAAAAAATTTCAAATCATTCTGATAAAATTATTTTTAGTTGCGGTGGTCAGTTACAATCATTTTTGGTAAATAAACATAACCCTGAAAACCTACGCACTTTCGAGAAAAAAATTTCTGACCGAAAATCTAACGCGAGACCAGAAATGCACCCCCGAAATTTCATGCGAATCTTTAAAATGTCGTCACTTCTAAACGGATTGGGGGATTTTAATGTTTCAAACGGCAAAGAACGCGTATTTTGGTGAAGAATATGTAGAAATTCTAAAAATATTGGAAAAGTTGTTCCTTAATCCCGTAAAGTGATAAAAATGGTCCAATTTTCAAACGGCCATAACTCCTACAATAGTGAATGGATTTGATTGAAATTGTTTTCTGAAGTAGAGCTCATAGGTATCTACAAAAAAGTATTAGACAACTTTTTCTGTTTAGTGCTAACCAAATTTATTAAAAATGAAAAACGAATTTGTAAGAAAAATCGACAGGGTGCTTAAATTCGGCGAAAAAAAAAATTTCAAATCGTTCTGAAAAAATTATTTTCGATTGTGGGAGTTAATTACAATTATTTTTAGTCATTAGACATACCCTCGAAATCCTATGCACTTTCGAAAACAAAATTTGAGTAGGTCGAAAAATTTTTCGAGAAAATTAAAATATTTCATATCATTCTGGAAAAAATTATGTTGTAGGAATACACAACTTTTTTTGTAGGAAATACACGTTTTAAGACCCCATCATCATATTGTGACTATTAAAAAAAAAAGAAATTCTTTTTTCGTCGAAAAATTTAGGCCTCTTTCTGAATTTTTTTCTCGAAAATGCGTAGGATTTCGGGGGTATATCTGTTCACCAAAAATGATTGTAATCGACCCCCGTAACTAATAATAATTTTTCTAGAACGATATGAAATATTTTAATTTTCTCGAAAAATTTTTCGACCTACTCAAATTTTGTTTTCGAAAGTGCGTAGGATTTCGAGGGTATGTCTAATGACTAAAAATAATTGTAATTAACTCCCACAATCGAAAATAATTTTTTCAGAACGATTTGAAATTTTTTTTTTCGCCGAATTTAAGCACCCTGTCGATTTTTCTTACAAATTCGTTTTTCATTTTTAATAAATTTGGTTAGCACTAAACAGAAAAAGTTGTCTAATACTTTTTTGTAGATACCTATGAGCTCTACTTCAGAAAACAATTTCAATCAAATCCATTCACTATTGTAGGAGTTATGGCCGTTTGAAAATTGGACCATTTTTATCACTTTACGGGGTTAAGGAACAACTTTTCCAATATTTTTAGAATTTCTACATATTCTTCACCAAAATACGCGTTCTTTGCCGTTTGAAACATTAAAATCCCCCAATCCGTTTAGAAGTGACGACATTTTAAAGATTCGCATGAAATTTCGGGGGTGCATTTCTGGTCTCGCGTTAGATTTTCGGTCAGAAATTTTTTTCTCGAAAGTGCGTAGGTTTTCAGGGTTATGTTTATTTACCAAAAATGATTGTAACTGACCACCGCAACTAAAAATAATTTTATCAGAATGATTTGAAATTTTTTAATAACTTTATAACGGAGCCTCAATCAAAAAATTGATATTCTTGATTTTCGTATTATTTTGGCCTTTAGAATCTCACATTAAAATTTTTCCCAGGGGCGGCCGTACATCCTGTATAACATTTGATTCTGTGTAACAAATTGATACGGTTATTGAAAAACATAGCGGAAAAAGTCAGGATTAATCTATTTCTGTAGCAATTAATTCTCCTATTTAGATCGTAATTATAAAACTATAACACGTATAATCATCACTATCCGGGAGCTGATCACGCTCAAAATTTAATCAGACATTGAAACGGGAATATAAAACATAAATGTAAAGTTTCATTGAAATACATTCAGTCGTTTAGGCAGAGAAAAAAATTTCTTTTTTTTAACAGTCACAATATGATCAGTGGGTCTTAAAACGTGTATTTTCGCTAAAAAAAGTTTTCGAAATTTTTCTTCGTTATGGTACTTTCCTTTCACCTTGCATAGGTCGGAAAGTAAAAATGCTGGGGCAGTCGAGACTTGGAATCGTATGCCGATTATCGCGAGATCGTATTTCAGTTGTTACAAGAGCAAGAAGGAAAGGCTCACGCTAGCGTTCTTTATCGTTTTCCCGAAGCTGCGCGAAGTGTCGAGCTCACGCATGCGTGGCTCGAGCGGTAGTATATGCCTGCTATCCCCACCACTCCGTTAGACGCTAAGGAAGTTCATCGTTACTAATGTCGACGTCGATGCACTCAATTATGCCAGATCTGGCCACACTGGACAATAGACCTTTCACCTTATGGACTTTCGTGGCCCAATCTGACTGCCATACCGGCCTGAAAATTCGGAGGTGATTTTAGCGGCCTCTTCTCATGGATGGCGGTCAGTTGAGAAAGTAGGCACTGAATTAGTATTGATGGGCAGCCAGCTGTAGTGTGTGCGTAAATACATGTGAGTTGACTATGGGAGGGATTGAAAAAGACAGTGCAGTATTATCAGACGGCAGACCCGTGCCCAAAGGGAACTGCCCCTCCACTTACACACGCTAATGCCAACCACCTTGTATATGAGTTCTGGCGTTTCGTATAGCTTCGTGGATTCGAGAAAGGCGGCGAATGTGAGTCTATCCTTCTTGCTCTCAACACAGCTGAAATTCGATCTCGGATAATCTCGAGCCGAGATTCTCGACTGCCCAGGCATTTTTGATTTTCCAACCTATGTAGGCGTATACAATGTATAAGCAAAATACTATAACGAAAACAAAAATTACAAAAATTTGTTTTTACGGAAATACACGTTTTAGGATCCCCTGATCATATTTTAACTATTAAAAAAAAGACATTTTTTTACTATGCTAATGAACGTGCGTTCATATATTTATACTATTAATACGATTGAGTCTGAACAACGAAATGAATTTCAATATAATTTAAAATTTTTAAATTTGAAAAAATTTGAGTATACTGTCCTATTTGTCCTCTTTGTTTAGCAATTTAAAAAAACGCTGACTCATTTGTTGGATAAATTGTTGGATAAATTGTTGTACAAAGGCCGATCTATTTTTCCTTCGTCTGGTACTCAGGTCTTATTCTACTAGCACAGACGAGATATATGAATAGACCTTTCACCTTATGGACTTTCGCGGCCGAATCTGACTGCCATACCGACCTGAAAATTCGGAGCTGATTTTAGCGGCCTCTTCTCATGGATGGCGGTTAGTTGAGAAACTAGGCACTGAATTAGAATTGATGGGCAGCCAGCTGAGTGTGTACGTAAATCCATGTGAATTGATTATGGGAGGGATTGGAAAAGACAGTGGAGTATTATCAGACGGCAGCCCCGTGCCGAAAGGGAACTGCCCCACCACTCACACACACTAATGCCAACCACCTTGTATATGAGTTCTGGCGTTTCGTATAGCTTCGTAGATTCGAGAAAGGCGGCGAATGTCAGTCTATCCTTCTTGCTCTCAACACAGCTGAAATTCGATCTCGCATATTCTCGAGCCGAGATTCTCGACTGCCTAGGCATTTTTGACTTTCCGACCTGTGTAGGCATATACAATGTATAAGCAATATACCATAATGAAGAAAAAATTACAAAAATTTGTTTTTACGGAAATACACGTTTTAAAACGATAATATTTTATGAACATATTTTAACCCTTTGCACTCGGTCGTCCCCTCTGAGGGGACATGAAAGTTTATTAGTGATTAAGGAGAATGAACTGATTTCACCGCAATTTTTTAAGAAACACATGTTTTCCTGTACTTTCCTATTAAAATGGGAAATATTCTATTAAAATGAGAAATATATCAGCCGTTTTTACGTTGGAAGTGGAAGGATTGTCGAGGATGGTCAGAGGCGTATGGTCGGATTCAAACACGTGGACAATAAACGTAACTATATAAACTATATTATTTAATGTTTACTAAAATTATTTAACATAAAGAACATAAAACGTAAACGTAAAAAACTATAAACGTAAAATCGAAACTTCATTCAAAGTCGAACCATTCCTATTGCTATCTTCGTTAT